GGCGGGTCCGGGCTGGGGATTCGAACCCGCCACCTTAGGTGTACGTGGCTGGCGCCTTAGCCGGTTGAGCTATAGGCGCCAAGCCCCCTCTTTCCTCTTTGAGGCTGAGCCCCTTGCATGCACATTTCACAGCCATTTATAGGTTGGTGGCATTTGGGTTGCTTCCGCTTTCTAGCTGCTGTGAATGTTTTTTTTTGTTTTGTTTTTGTGTGTGTGTTTTCTTTTTTCCCTTTGATCAGAGTTTCAAGCTGTGGCCCTGGGTAGAGTGCTGTAGCTTACAGCAACCTCCAACTCTTGGGCTCAAGTGATCCTCCTGCCTCAGCTTTTCTACTTTTTAGTAGAGATGGGGGGGGGGTCTCCCTTTTGCTCAGGCTGGTCTTGAACTCATGAGCTCAAGCCATTCACCTGCCTTGGCTTCCCAGAGTGCTGGGGTTACAGGTGTGAGGCATTTCTGGCCCCTGCCGTGAATGTTTATATAGAAGTTTTTGTTTGAGTACTTGTTTTCAGTTCTTTGGGTAGACTTAGAATTTGAGGATTTGAATTGCTGGGTCATAAGGTAATTTTTTCATCATGTCGCATTCCCACCAGGAAATGTTCAAGTGTCCAGTTTCTTCACGCCCTCACTAGTACTTATTTTCCATTTTTTTGATTATGGCCATTTTAGTGGGTCTGTCCTGAGTTTGATTTGCATTTTCCCTTGTGACTGATGATGTTGAGCATCTTTTCCTGGGCTTATTGATCGTTCATCTGTCTTTGGAGAAAGGTCTATTCTTGTCCTTTGTCTGGTTGTAAATTAGGTTATTTTTCTACTGTTGGGTCGTAGAATTCTTTGTTCTAGATGACAGGTGCCTCTGTGTGCTTGAGTCTCTTGTGGTCTGGATGACAGATGCCTGTGCATGCTTGGTTTTCTTGGATTCTTTTCTCTCCTATTTTCTGTTTTTTTTTTCTTTTGTTAAATACTGATTTCTTCAACTTTATTTTCTATTCTTGTGTTTTATGCTTTTAATTTCCAAAAATTATTTTAAAATGAGACATTTGGATGATGCCTGGACACTGGAGGGGTGATCAGGGTGAGGGTGGGACGCGTGGGATAAGTGGTCCCATCGTTAGGTCTCCTGCGTCAGAATCCGTCGTCGTTTCTCTTTTCTCACCATCCCCAGAGACGGATTCTCTTATCCCCTGTCTGGAGAGTATCTAGATGCTCTCCTTGGAGTATTTGCAGATCTAAAGGGGGGTGGGGCAAAGAGAGGGGCCAGCTCCTCGTTCAGTAACACGTATGTCACCGTTGTTCCTCATCTGTATCCTCGAGCTCACCTTCTCCTCACTTCTGCTCCTTTAGCTGCCCGCCTGGTGGTCAGCCCCAAGTACACCAGGGGCTGCCCGGCTCCCGCTCTGGCTTTCACCTTTACTCCGAGCAGCCTTCGTGTCTTCCTGCTCGTGATGTCAGCCTTTGCATGTCTCTCCTTCAGCTCTTGTTCCCTTCTAACTCTGTATCTCAGCCAGCACCATCCTTTTAGAGTGCATTGTGTAAATCATGCTGTATCACTTTGTGCTTCAGACCTCATGTCCTTCCACGAACCTACCAGAGCCGACCATGTCTCAACCTGGTTCCAGGACTTCTTCAAAAACCCACTTACCACAGGCTGAAATTTTCTTAGGTTTTTTTTTTTTTTTTTTTTTGGTGACTGAGTCTTGCTTTGTTGCTTAGACTGGGATATAGTGACTGTTCACAGGTGTGTTCGTGGTGCTCTACATCCTTGAACTCCTGGCCTCCGTCAGTCCTCTCAGCTCTGAGTGGCCAGGATTACAGGCACCTGGCAGAAAATCTCCTTTTGTTTGCTTTATTCTCCCCTCAACAGAATATGGCAGACTCCATGAGGGGAAGGCGCTGTATCCTCAGAACCTAGAACAGCACTAAGATAATCATTCACCGCCTGGTTACTGAGAGGCTGTTACATACCAGGCACTGTCGTAGGCACCATGGAAACAGTGTTAAGTGTCCAATATAACGTTGGGTACTGGAGATAACAGGAGGCCTTGCAAACCACGGGCAGGTTCCAGGGAGGGACGTCCCTCCCAGCAGCTGAGGTTGGGGATAGGGACACCACAGCGTGCTTGTGCTGCACGTCCTGCTGAGTCTTCTGTTAGCAGATCTGGATCTCAGGGTGTTACCTGGATAGAGAATGTGTGGCAGCCCCAGGATGTATCCAGGTCCGTCAAGTTCCATTCTCAGTTCATTAGAAATGGCCAGTCTTTCCTAATCTGTTCATTTATTGCTAGGATATGGTAGAAGTATGGGTGCATTTACTGGCTCAACTGTTTCATTCAGCTCAAAGCACTTAATATGAGAAACATTCTTATAATTTACGTCATCTGCTAACGCACTAACTCAAGGTTGTACACCCTAAATGTTTCCTATTTATCTTTACTGTTCCAAAGGACAACCATGACAGCGCTCTTAGTTTGCCAGACAGTGGGTGGATGGATCCTTGGCCACTCACAGACACCTGCTGCCTTTTGTGGTGGCAGGAGCATGTGGCAGCAGGCGTCCTGTGCCATAGGATTTGCCGTGGGAGTGTTCAGAGACTGGTCTAGAACATTCCACAAAGGAAGGATGTCTTTCCTTCTGTGCTCTCAGACCACCCTCAGTTCTGATGTTCTTAGCAGGCTTCCCAGGGAGGATTCTCCTCCTGTGAGCGTTAATACCCAGTCTTTCTGTCTTTTTGTTCAGATGACATGAAAATGGAGACTGACATCAAGAGAAACAAGAAGACTCTTCTCGACCAGCATGGGCAGTACCCAGTGTGGATGAGCCAGAGGCAAAGAAAAAGGCTGAAGGCAAAGAGAGAGAGAAGAAAGGGGAAAAGCAAGGCCAAGGCGGCTAAGGCAGCGAAGGGTTTGGCCTGGTAGACTCTGAGCAGTGTGGAGAGTGCCACAGACAGATGTCTGGTGAGGACGCATATCTAGACTTCAGCTCCCAGCAAGACCAACCTGCGCTGTTTCCTTCAGTTCACACCCAGCATGTCTCTTCAAGTTTGTTTTGGGAGCTTTGAACAAAGCGTTCCTTGGATGGGTGGAAGCTGTGCTGCTTTCAGCTGAATGCTGCCCCATGTCCTCGTGTTACCAGACGTCCACAGTCTGGTGGTAACATGGTTGTGGGTGGCGTTCTGACAACCTGATATCTATAGTCAGTGAGGATAAGACAGTTGATACACTGACAAAAAAGAGTGGACTCAGCTATGATATGTCAGTAGATCTTATAAACAGTTACTTCTTTGAAGTTCTGATTTTGTATAATTCAGAATAAAAGATAACTTTGTGTGTAGACCTCAAAGTTTGGTCTTTTTCTTCATATATTCTTAAGGTTTTTCTCATCCTAAAAACAGACCACATCATTCAGTTAAATCTTTTTTTCCCTCTATTTTTTTATTTTTATTTTTTACATACATATTTGTTTATTAGGTTTCCACCTTTTGCCTTCACAAAATTAAAAAGGCTTAAAATTTTATAACAATAACAATGTTTAAGGTAAGGACTAGGAACAAAAACCTCATAAAGAACAAACTTATCTTCTGAATGAAAAGAAATACATTCAGAAAAGAAATTAGACAATTGCTGTATCGAAATATTAACCAATGATAATAACAATGTAAAGAAATTAATGTTTACATTGTCAAGTAAGAGTATGTCTATTATAGAATGCTTTGACTCTGAGGTTCAGTATGGAGTCATCAGTTAACGTCTTATTTTTTTTTCCAAAGTTTCAAAAAATAATTAATATTTATAAATAAAAGATAATTTCAAAAAACAGATCATACCAAATCTTAAAGACAATAGAAAAAGAAGAAATACTTTAAAACCATTCTATTTAATCTGGATACACCTGATATTAAAATTCGAGAAAATATATTATTATAAAGGGTAAACTAAAACCATTTCACTTATAAATGAGGATGCAATATCCTAAACAACATATTAACAAGTTGAATTAAAAATTAATGTTTAGGCAGTTAAGTCTTCTTAAGTCATGATTTTTGATACAAGAAGTTAGAACATCTCAGTTTTTCATGATAGCTGATGTAGTGTTCACCCTTAACACTGTGTGTCCTGACATATTGCAGCATTTTCCAGGATGTGTTCTCAGAATCTGTTTCTCAGATGCTTGGTTAAAAGAAAAGTTGTGGTCACGGCAGTTTGGGAGATGCCGCATACTTGGGGACTTACAGAAGGCATCAGTTTGGGAATGGTAAGGTTTTATAGGTACCTAGAGGTAAAGGTGTGTTTAACCTGGACTCTAAAGTGGGTTTTCTGAGAAGTAGAAAGTCCCATGGGACATGCTGCCGTGACGAGATGGTCTTCAGCAGAATCATCTCTGGTCTGCTGCTTTCCTCATATTTGAGTTTCAGTTGAGGAGTCTAAACGCAGCGTTCCCTCTGGAGGTTCCCTACTCCTGTTAACCACCTTAACGTGACCCAGGCAGTCAAGACATTTCTCAAATGCCTACTGTGTGCCAGGGACTTCCCAGGTGCTGGGGCAAGACCAGAGCCAGCAACATGTCTGCTGTCAGGGCCAGAGAGGATTTTGACTTCACTGGAAAACCAAGTAGAAGGTGAAACACATCAGAATAAGGTCACTTGGTCATGAGGTCACAAACTGCGCCAGGTGCCCTGGTGGGCCAGGGCACAATATAGAGAAAAACAGGATGAGACTCAAATCTTTAGATTGAACCTATAAAATTTGATGCTGGTAAGCTCTTGAAATTATTTTAATAGGCTTTTTGCAGTTTACTCAATAGTTCATTGAAAAGTTAGTGGATAAAAAAGGGGCTAAGAAAATGAGTTGCGCGACGGACGTCATCTGTGGCCTGCGTTGCCCTTTGGTATCTGTATGAGTAACAGTGTTGAGGGAAAGCGGACGTATAGCATGTGTATTCATAAAACAAACTGCATACGCCATCCAAGTAAGCCACTGACGGTATTGGCCCAAGTATACTGGCTGGATTACTTACCCTTCTTTTAATCACAGGAACTGTCTACATTAGTGATATTACATGTTTGGACTTACTTAAATTTTGGCCTCATTGTCAAGTATTTTCTAACTGGATTTTGTTTGAGTCAGAGTGAGAGATGAGGCCTGGGATATGCTGGTGCCTCTGTGCTGGGTGACCGCTGATTTGACTGCCATGGCAGCAGCTCTGAGCCCTCCCTGGGCCACCCCATGTTAGGAAGTCCACTCAGGATTTAGTTTTAAAGGTAACAAAATCAAAAAACAAAATGCCACCATAAAATGTATGTGGGAAATCACATTCCCGAGTTTCACACAGTCTCTGGAGCGATCGCTGTTGAAGACAAGGGTCCTCTCCGTCTTGAGAGTGGCCTCTGAGGCCCTGAGTCCTGGACTACTCTGCACCAAGTTTCTCCCACCGCCAGCTGTGGCAGGACATTTAGACTGGAACTCTACTATTAGTGCAGGGCTGTGATCATCGTTTCATCACTTTATTCTTAGAGATTATAACTCTTATACTTTGCTTTCTGAAATTCATCATCTTTTTATTTGATGGATGTTTGCCAGAGAATTGCTGCAAAACCACCAGATGGAGCTCAAGCTAAGCTCCAAGTCATTTTAGAATTAAATTGAACTAAGAAATTGAATGTCACATTTTATTTTTGCTCTTAAATAAGTTTAAAATTAAAATGTCATTTTAAGGATAACATTGCTTAAAATATTAATTCATTTAATTCACTCAGCAACCCCTGGAGTGTGATACCAATGTTCTCCCTCTTTTCCACATAGGGAAACACAGGCTGTGTAATAAACTCGCGTTCAGGCGTGTGGCCTGTGTCCTCTCACCGTGCCACTCTGCCCCTCCAGGATGGACAGACTCCTGTTAGAGAGGAAGGTCATTTTAGGGTAGAATATGTATTCTCTGGTTCAGCTCAGGATGGACTGGGTTGATGGAAGCTTGGAATCACATGCAGAGCAGGTTTTCATTGAGAAATGACTCTGAGTCCTCCTCAGATATCCAGGCTGAGGCAGGATTGAGTAACGAGTCACCAGCAGCGGGCTGTCCAACCCCAGAGGGGCCATGTCCACCATGAACAGCAGTACCCCAGCACCTGCTCGGTGAGGACTGAACTGCACTGCGACTTGAGGTCCCACGAAGTTGTGCTCTGACCACATCTCCCTTCTGCTGTCACATTAGTATAGATGGATGCATTTCCTTCCTCTATATAGTTCACGCACACACTGCATGAAACAAGCAGCAGTGTGTATTTGCTTCTTAGGAAATTGTATGTCTTCAGAGTTTGGATCTGTGTGTCTGGGATGTGGTTTATAGACGTTGGAGAGGAAGTAACCAGGTATAAATGATATAATTCACGTGTCAGGAATGGACTGGTGGAGACAGGGTGAGCAGCGGTGTGTGGCTTAGACTAGTGATTGCTGACCACGAGGTGAAGTTGGGAGGATCTAAAGGGGTCTCAAAGAATTGCCAAATTTATAGATAAATTGAAAGGCAGATGTAGAGCTGTTGGCTAGTCCTTTAGTTAAGTGACTAATTTCTTTTCTTTGAGACAGAGTCTCAAGCCTGTTGTCCCCGTGCTGTGGGAGGCCGAGGTGGGTGGATCACCTGTGCTCAGAGGTTTGAGACCAGCATGAGTCAGAGTGAGACCCCATCTCTACCAAAAAATTGCCAGGCATTCTGGTAGGCACTTGTAATCACAGCTATTTGGGAGGCTGAGGCTAGAGAATCACTTAAATCCAGGGATCCAGGGGTTGGCGGAGGTTGCTGTGAGCTGTGATTCCACAGTACTCTACTGAGTGTCACAAAGTGATACTCTGTCTCCATAAAAAAAATTAAAAAAACTAAGGCATAAACACACACATTAGCCTACACCTACACATAGTCAGGGTTAGCAATATCATTGTCTTTAAAGGAGCTCAAGACATTTCACCCCAAAATATGACTTGCTATAAAGAATATTTTGAATTGAAGGCCATTTGAGATTAAAAGAGACATTGACAGGGCTTTCCCTTGGGCAGACCTGGTCAAAGGGCCCGAGGGGTGGCTGGTGTTCCCGCCTCTCCCTGGCATCTCAGCACATTGCAGGAAAGAAGCCCGAGAAGACCAGAGAACCTGCCCCCCCCCCCTTATCTCAGACGTAACACCTGCCCCTCAGGTTAGTTTAATTTGCAAAGAGCATTGTGTACAAGTCAATCTGTGTCCCCCATTTGTTCTGTTCAGCTGCTTTTGTCATCCCTGAATAGAATTACCTTACTCCACATTTCCCTCCCTCCCAAAGACAGACATGAAAACATCAGAGTTTCATTGAAATATTGGCTGTTCAATTACTCTTGTGATTCTCCTCATGCTCATGGTATTTGAAAATAATTTTCTGTTATTTATCTGCCTTAATTGTGAGTTGATCTTTTAGCAAACTGCCAGGGAAGAGGGCATCCCTCCCTCACTCTCATACCTTCCACCTCCAAATCTTGTCCCACTGGAAGGTTTTGGGGGCAAAAACAAGCACGGAGTTGTCGTCTCTCTCGATACCAAGGCCTTCTGGAATATGTGCTGGTCGACCTGCTTGAGCGGTTTCACAGATTACTATTTCTTAATAAGTAGAAAGAGTACATTCTAAAATAACAAATATATATATGATATTTTGCTGTTTATGTACACTTTTGGGGAGAAAATAAGGATGAGGATTATACATGGGAGTGCAGCTTGGGAATGGAGAGTTGAGGGAGGTGGTGGCAGCAGGGCTGGTGAGCAGACCGTGGCCAGGCAGGGCAAGGGCCAAGGCTGAGGCCCAGCCACACAGAGGGTACCAAGACCCCTCAGTTGGCCCTAGGGACCCGCCTGGCTGCTCAGAGGCTGAGTGGCCTCAGAAGTTCCCACCTCACTGGCCACGTGCATGGCCTATCTTGGCTTCAGCCCCCAATATGGAGAGGAGGGAATGGCTCCCAGGAGGGAAGAAAGGGGCAGCCTCCACAGAGCAGGTGGCTGTGGGAGGGAGGTGCCAGCTGCACATTTATCAGGGAGCATTAGCCTCTCCAGATGTCTCTCCTGGCCAAAAGCCCCTGACTATTTTTTTTTTTTTTTTGAGACAGAGTCTCAAGCTGTCGCCCTGGGTAGAGTGCTGTGGTATTATAGCTCACAGCAACTTCAAACTTCTGGGCTTAAGCAATTCTCTTGCCTTAGCCTCCCAAGCAGCCGGGACTATGGGCACCCACCACAATGCCTGACTACTTTTTGTTGTTGCAGTTGTCATTGTTGTTTTAGCTGGCCCAGGCAGGGTTAAACCCACCAGCCTCGGTGTAT